AGAGACAGAGACAGAGAGACAGAGAGAAACAGACAGGGAGAGACAGAGACAGGCAGGCAGGCAGACAGACAGAAAGACAGAGAGTGACAGACAGAGACAGACAGACAGACACAGACAGAGACAGAGACACCAATACAAACAGAGAGACAGAGACAGAGATAGAGACAGAGACAGACTGGACATGAGTACACTCTTTCAGCTCACATCTCCAGTGACATCCCTTTGTATCCCCCTCTAAACAGTACCCTCTCTAGACACAGGACATTCTTTATTTGAACTATAACAGGACCAGAAAGGGAGATTGAGAGAGTGACATCAAACACTCCTCTCAGCACCCCGAAGAGGCCATGTCCTTCTGGTCTGCTCATGGCCAGTAGAAGGAGCGGCCCCTTGTCCTAGAGAAGAGGGAAGTTCTTGGAGGACTTTCCTGATGTAGGGCAGCCCCAGGGCAGCACTTGCACTCCAAGCCCCACTAGCAGCTGAGTCCCTTGAGCCCAATTACTTCCATGTTCAGCAACTGTATCTTCAGAGCCCCTATGTTTCCCACTGAGCAGTCAGAGAAGAGTGAGCCACAGCAGCCCTAAGACATTGATAAATGAATTGGGCATGTGACAGTACAGGGAAGGCACCAGAAGAATGTCTATCTAAATCCTAACCCTACCTTGCTTGGCAAGAGCTGGCCCTGGAGGCTGGTTCAGTAGGGACATTGTCTGGAGCCCATGGGACTTGAGCTGGACCTTGGAGAAGCAGAGGACGGGAGAGGTGGGACAAGAGGAGCGATGCACCCAGTACCCTGCACTCTGTTCAGGGCCATGGCCCTCCTTGTCCCCAGGCCTGGTCCCAAGATGCTGGTCCTTGTGGGCTCCTCCAGCAGGCTTCCTGGCCCCTGCTTTAGGGAGGATTAGGTTTGCCCTTAAAGGGTACCAGAAAGAGATGAGAAGACCAGAGGATAGTGAAGGCTGGGGTTTACCACCACCCTCCCTGCAAGTGCTGTGGATGACTGGGGGACCCTCTGCCACATGACAGCTTCTGGAATCCACTCCTACCCCACAAGGTCCTCCAAGCCAGGGTAGTAATGACTCACCTCTGTGGCCAGCCCAGGGTGCCCATCCTTTGTTAGCGCCACCCCCCAACTCTGCTCCATCTCCGGACAGTGCCCTGCAGGAACCCTGCTGATAGAAGCACCTCAGAGATGTGGAAGACTGGTGGGCACACGAGGTGGGCCCTCATAGACCTGTGGGCCCAGGAAGTCAGGTGGACGCAGGATGGGCTGGCATCCATCCAGGATGTCACTGAGTGTTGGGCACGTGGCCGTCATACTCCATCCTAATACCTCTCTCTCTTCCTTTCCCAAGGTTTCTGCTGCTTCCAGCCCAGCTCCGGCTCCGGCTCTGACAGACCCAGAACTCTTCCAGGGACGCTGCAGCCACAGGTTGGGAATGGAGAAGCCTCTGAGCTGTTTAGCTGTGCTCGTCCTGCTGCCGTCCCTGCGCCTGGCACAGTATGACAGCTGGCCCTACCAGCTCCAGTACCCCGAGTACTTCCAGCAGCCAGCCCCCGAGTACCACCAGCCCCAGGTGCCCTCAGACGTGGTCAAGATCCAGCTGCGCCTGGCAGGCCAGAAGAGAAAGCACAACGAGGGCCGCGTGGAGGTCTACTACGACGGCCAATGGGGCACCGTGTGTGATGATGACTTCTCCATCCACGCAGCCCACGTTGTCTGCCGGGAGCTGGGATACGTGGAGGCCAGGTCCTGGGCCGCCAGCTCATCCTATGGCAAAGGAGAAGGTAAACTATGGCAAAGGAGAAGCTCAGAGTCCTAAGGCTCTGAGCTTTGGGACTGCATGCCCATAACCCGGCCAGACTGCGAGCAGCCTACCTTGAGGCTGACCTGGCAAGGGAGGCTGTGGCTGGCATCAGGCGCAGATTCTTGGTGGTATTATCTGCTCGTGGAGGCTGTGCCCTGAGGGAAGTGGGAGGGAGGCCTCTCTGGACATGTAGAGGGAGAACCATCCTGATGGCCTGGAACATTGCCTGGTTTCGTTTTGCAAAGTCTTCAGCAGATCCAGGCAAACCAGGACATCTAGTGGCCCTGTGTGGGGCACAGCCAGCCTGTGCATATCTCTCGGAGCCAGGTGCCTCTCTGGGGGATGCCTCGTGGCCAGGGACGTCCTGCCTTCCTCCAGATCACTCTCTATGAGCGGCACCTTCTCCTCTTCTCACAAGATTCCTGCAGGCTCCACCTCTGCCCAGGCAGACTGCATTCCTATCACCAACGTGCCATTGTGGCCTGGGTCTTGGTGGGAACAGCGAGCCTCCAGAGTTTTCACCTTTGATTAACCTCATCCTTTTTAACAGTACAAATCAGTTTATTAAAACAAAAACAAACTTGTCAGAGCTTTGAGGGGGGACAGGTCTCGCAGCCCTAAGCCCTTGCACTCGGTTCTGGTGCTGAGCTACCTAGTGACAGTCGCACGTTGCTTAATGATAGGAAAGATAGGTGATAGGAAGAGTGGTAGGCGACTTCCTGGTTGTGTGACATCATGGAGCGTACTTAGACAAACTGAGAAAGCTGTGAGGTCACTAGATGGCGGGGTCGTGTCTCATGGGGTCACTGTGTGCATTGTTCGCCAGTGCAGCAGTGTTACATGGCACACGCCTCTACATGCTACACAGCATGACAGGAATCCACGTTGGTCTCAGTTTCCCTATCTGGAAGTTGGACTCTCTAGGACCTCTTGAAACCCTGGTTATATGTGTTCCCAAATGGAAAGTGGGTATGGGCCAAGGGCATCACTTGAAGTACTTTTTCCCAGGAGCTAAGAGTCCCTGAGCCTGTGGAAGCAAAGGCCTCTGCTCGCCAGCTGCACTACTGGGCAGGCCTTGGCCTAGCTCAGGCGCTCCGTGCTCCCACCCTGGGTGCCGCTCGTTGTTACACTGACTGTGTAAGACTCCCAGGGGCATTAAACATCCAGGACATCTCATCCCTCAGCCTATGATGTTCTTGTTTCAAAGGTCTAGACTGGGACTTGGAAGTCTGAAGCTTTTGGGAGCTTGTGACACATTTGCATGTGTAACCAGGGGTGGGAGGCAGTAAAATAAGCAACTGTTCGGCTCCCTTACAACCCTTCTTTCTGCTATTCCAGAAATTACAGGAGAATGGAGGCACCACCTCATGTGTACCTCATCTCCATGTAATGGCAAATTTCCTGTCAGGAGAACTAGCTCAAAACTGGCACTGAAGAGTTCAGTGTTTTTGGAAACCCATTCCAAGGTTTTTAGCCATATGAGAACCGAAGCAGCCAAGAGGAGAACCCACTTAGAGCCCATTTCCGGTCTTCTTTCATTGGACTTCTGGCTCTCCTCGGGGCAGCTACATCCTCTTATTCTGCTAGCTGAGTGATCCAAGTGTAACACCAGGTTCATATTTACTATTCCATGTTCTCCAGTCCTCTTTCTTTATGGCAATGCTCCCCAGTGGCAGTAGGGTGTTCCCTGAGTGATAACTTTATTTCTACCCAAATTAAGAACCCATCTGTCATCAGATCAGGTGGTTGTGGCTTTTTCCCAGCAAGGGCAGGCATAGGGTAGCTGGGCAGGTAGGTGTAGAGGAGGGACTTTGCAGTCTAAGGATGATGAAGCCAAAGAGTTCAACACAACAGAGCACACATGAAAGGAAAGGATTAAGTTCGTGACCAAGGAGCGCTGGGTAAGAAGGAAAGTAATTGAAGGACTGTGTTGAGCTGCTGTGGTGGGTGGACTGAAGGGCTTTGCTGAGATTGCCACAGGAGCAGGAATGCACAAGAAAGATGCGGGGAGGAGGCGGGGATGGAGTGGAAAGGGAGATGGCCAGGTGAGGCTTGGCATGATGAGTTGTGATGAGGGGAGCAGCTGGAGTGGGGCGGAGAGAAGCCACTGGAGGGAGGAAAGACAGCAACTAGGAGGCCAAGCGTCCTGGAGAGGCCATGTGTGTGGACACCGAGGCCATCAAAGGTTGCGACAGGAATAGTATGGGAAGAGGACAGAAAGAGATACTGGACAAGACTAAACCATCCTGTGTCTGGAGTTCGACTCAAGCCACCTATATAAAGTGGTGCTTGGTTTACATCGCTAGAGACCTTCTCGGTAGAGATGTATTTGAGATTCATTAGCATCAGGACAGGGTTTTGTTTTGTTCCAGCACTGGGTATGTACTAGGTTTTTGTTTTGTGAGTACTGGCTGATTGAATCATTTTGGTCTGGGAGCATATCAAAAGAAACTGACCAAATAGTATATGGTACAGTGACCAGAGTGTGCCAGGGAGTTGCCCTGGTGGCGCCCATAGTGCAAACAGACCCTGCAGGTGGGCTGGGAACCCTGTGGCTGACCCTGTGCCCCCACACTCCTCCATGCCCAGGCTGAGGTAATGGAGCCCAGGTGAGCAGGGACCTCTAGGGATTTCCAGCCTGGATGCTCAGCAGTCTCTGCTCCCAAAGCACCTCTGCTCTGTGCCCAGAGAGAGTTCTAGAAGGCACAGATGGCCTGCTGCTCACCCCCAGTGGCTCCCATAGCAACTGACACAAAGTAGGAGCGCCCCACATAACTGCACCGCGCCCCGGAGGAAAGCAACGGAGCCAGTCCCTTCTGATAAGGCCAGAAGTCTGCAAGTTCTCACGTAAGCAAATTCCACCACCCTGACAGAGCCCAGAAACCTGTATGTCAAACAGCATATCTTTCATGACCTCTGTTCTCCAAGGGCCTGTTAATTTGTTCACATGTCTCTTCTTTCTTTGCAAGAGACATTTTTTAAAGAGTAAATGAATGGAAGGAGTAAAATGCAGTTTTGCTCTTAATTGAATTTCCTTTTTTTTTGGTTCTAAGTGTGAGCATCGCTTTTGTTCTGTGTCCCAGATATTACTTTGCTAGCAGCTAGATGCCGCCGGGACACCTAGAACCAGCCTGGGTTTCAACAGGCAGACTCAGGAGTGGCTGCAGTGGAGTCAGGACAGTAGCTCCTGGGCAGAAGCCATACAGTGAAGGGGGAAAAACCATTGCCATGAAGTCAGGCCAAATAGCACACTGTGCGTGGCATGTGTTTTCTTGTGCTAAGTACAGAGGTGCACATCAGCATCGAAGGGACTAACCAAGACTACATAGAGGGGAGGCTTATGGGAATCCAGGATGATGCAGAAGGCAGTAGCTATTTGAGGTAGCTCAGTTTCTTTGTACTCCAGGGTGCTGATTTTATACCCTCCACAGCAGAAAATAGAGCCAGCCCAGCGTATGTGGGTTTGCTGCTTTGTACAGTTTCTTTAAAGCTTCTGGCCCCATGGTGAGGGGGAGATCTCTGGCTGCAGAAGGAATAAGGACATTACTTCTTCTCACCCTCTACCCCTCTGCCACTTCGCTACAGAACGTTCCAAGCAAGAGGCCCTGCATAGAAGGCAGGGGTCTTTTCCACTGCTAGTACTTGGTAACACAAACATGAGCTTGTTGTAGAGACCGCAATCGATCAGGGAGCATATACCTCAGCAGGGCCTGATGGCTTGAAAGCCAGGCCAGAATGAGAAACCAGTTGGAACTCCTCAGCCCAGATGTTTTCAATAAACTCTTGTTCCCACAACACGTCCGAAGCGTTCTCCTTTGAGCCCAGCCATCCATCAGGGCAGATGCGCTCCAGCCACGCCTGGGAGTCAGGAGACAGGCGAGTCCTCTCTGACCTTAAAGAACCCCAGCGTCCCGCCTCAGTTGCCATCTCTACAATGGGTGTGCTTTTATCTGCTTTTGTTCATATCTCAGAACCAGTAGAATTCATTGTTTTCTGACACCTGAAAGGAGGAAAAGAAGTTTGAACGTATTCATTCAACACTTCAGTATTTTCTTGGCTCTCTGTGGCAACCTTTTTGTTAGATGGTGGTTGGCTTTAGAAATGGGCCGGCAGGTGGGACTTGAACCTGACCAGGGACTTTGCTGTTCTCTAGGCTTCTAAAGGAGTCATGAGAAAGACATTTGGTTTAGTTTTCTTCCAGTTTGTAGTGGAAATTTATAAAAATTACTAGTTAAAACCCCTGTAACACCTTTATTTATTTCTGATTGTGGTAAAGTGTGCATAACCTCAAATGCACATCTTAACCATTTTTAAGCATACAGTTCAGTATAGCTCGGTATGTTCACACTCGTGTGCAGCTGATCGCCAGAACTTTTTCTTCTTGTAGCACCGAAACTGTGTTCCTATTAAACAACCACTTCTCACCCCTTTGCCCAGGTCCTGGCAACCCCACTCTCCTTTCTGTCTTTAGACATTGGCTTTTTGAAGTACTAAATGGAATTATCCAGTTTGGATAATTGCATGGCTGGTTTATTCCACTTAGCATAATGTCCTCAAGGTTCCTCTGCATCGTAGGAGGTGAAGGAACTTTTTCTTTCCTCATTTTAAAGGCCGTACTATTGTACATATAGACCAAAATTTGTCAACATACTCTTGGGTTCCTTCTACTTCTTGACAATTATGAATAGTGCTGCTCTCAACATAGATCTATCTGGGGGTACAGATATCTCTTTGAGACACCGCTTTCAGTTCTCTTGGATGTGTACCCAAAAGTTGAATGGCTGATTATACGATAGCTTTATTTTTCATTTTTTAAAGAACCACCACGTTGCTGTCCCTAGCAGCCGCACACCATGCGTTCTCCCAGGTGGTTCACGGGGCTCCAGCTCCTTCACGTCCTCGCCAGCACCTTGTTTTTGATAGTAGCCACCATAGTAGTGGCAGGAAGAGTCTCACTGTGGTTAGTGCCAGAGCATATCACACACTTAACTGGGCTTAGTGCAAGGGAGGTAAAGGACCAGGAGGCGGACAGAGTTCCACTGTGGTCTTGGAGAATGTGACGAGGCAGCTGTGTGGCATAGTGAGGCTGGCCTGTCCCTGAATGGTATAATCAGTGTCAGAAAGTGAGAAGGATGCTGAATGGGGGGAATGGAGGCCCAGGCTTCTAGGCTTAGAGGGTGGCCTCGCACCATGGGTGCCCTTTCTCTGAGCCAGAGCTCTGTGTCTAAGAAGTGGAAATGATCATGCTAATGTGTCCTCGAGGTGTGGGAAGACCCAGGAGGCAGTGTGTGTGAAAATGCCTGAAAAACTGCAAACCCTTAACTCCAGAGCAGTTGGATTCCCTCCCAGGGATCCTAGGGCAGCCTCTGCTTTCTACGACAGGGACAACTGCCCTGTGCCCTAGTTGGTATAACTATAATTTTCTCTTCATTATTGGTATCATTTTTATCAACAATAAACCAGGTATGTGCTATATGTTACACTAAGTGCACACTCAGCAACTCAAAGAATCAATATTATCCACATCTTATGAGCAAAGAAGCTTCGACCAATGTCATAAAGCTGAGGTGGAGCAGAACTCAGACCCCATAGTCTCCAAAGCCCCCGCTCTTTCCATGATACCATGTAACTTCAAGGCTCAGCCCTTCTTCCTGTCCTGTGTTCAGTCTACCACTTCTCCAAATTCACATCAGCTGCCTGATCTGGAAAGAAAGTCCAGGTGGTCTAGGATACAATACAATAACTTAACATAATAAGAATCAGGTGTTAGCTGCACACAGCTGGGGAAAAGTCCTCTTGCCATAGAAGACACGGGGCCCCAGACCACTAAAGCTGCATTGACTTGGTGCCGGGTTTCTCTCCTCTGCTTCCTCCAGGGCCCATCTGGTTGGACAACGTCTACTGCACGGGCGGCGAGGCCACCCTGGCAGCCTGTACCTCCAACGGCTGGGGCGTCACTGACTGCAAGCACACGGAAGATGTCGGTGTGGTGTGCAGTGAGAAGAGGATTCCTGGGTTCAGATTTGACAACTCGTTGATCAACCAGATAGAGGCAAGTCCTGTGCTCTTGGTGATTTCTTTGTGTGGATGTCTTTCTTCTTCCGTGAAGCTCACTTCATGCCACTCACTCATTTACTCACTCACTGATTTCAAGAAGTACGTGTGCACGCTAAAGAGGGGAGTAGCCCCAAGGGCAGTTTCTGGGGTTGCTGGAGGAGGAATGTCCTCATGAGGAAGTGCAGAGGTGAGGAGTGCAGTCTGTGGCAAGCAGGGAATGATGGGAAAATGATATGCCTCTATGTGGTAGGACTCTGGCTGGGAAACTTCTGAACCATGTGTGGGAGCTCGCCCTTTGGTTGGGAAATGTATTAGTTATCACTTGCTGTATAACAAATTCCTTCCAGATTTTTCAGCCTAACGCAACCAACATTTATCATTTCACATAGCTTCCATAGGTCAAGAAGCCAGTGGAGACTTAATTACCTCATCCTTTCCCAGGAAGCTGTGCCCCAGCTGTGCTCTGGGGCTGGAGATCCCCTCCCCAGATGACTCGTGGTGTAGGGCTTATTTTGCTCTCTTACTGGTCCTGGCTGTAGCTCCCTGTTTCTTTCTGCACATCCTCCCCATAGGCAGTTTCAGTATCCCCAAGACACGTCCCCTCTGCCCTTAGTGCCTTCCCCCAAAGTGAGTGTTTCGTAGAAGAGAAACCACTGCATGGACGCCATGACCTTTGATAACCCACTCTCAGAAGTGGCAGGCCATCATTTTTGCTCTAGTCTCTTGGTCACACAAACCAACCCTGGTCCCCATCTCGAAAATGACACAAAGAAATGGATGCAGAAGGTGGAGATCCCTGGGGGCCCTCTTGGAGGCTGATAACCATGGGGCAATTGTCCTCAAATCTAGCTGGACATGAGAGTCATTTTGCAGCTGCAGATACTGGAGCTACATTCCTGGCCTACTAAGTGAGAAATTTGCACTATGGACAAGCTATTTTTTTTAATGCCCTCTCAAATGACTCTGATGTTCATGGCCCAAGTTGACACTTGGGAGTGGCCAACAAGAAGGATGTGTGACCCTTCTACAGTTCTGGCTCAGTTTCAGATCGAGGTTTTTCAATAATTTCTTCATCCAAATGACTAAATTAGCAAGTGATTCTTGCATTCCTCTTATATGCAAAGCATATGAGCCTCTGGACAGAAGTGGGCTGCTGAGACTCCTGTCCTTAAGGAACATGTTGGATGCTAATCCCCATGGGACAGTGGCATCCACCATGGACACAGGCCAAGGAGTGTCACTGAGCCTCGGCCTCCAGCCAGTGCCAGCACTAAGGCTGAAGAGGGGGGGCTAGCAGTTGCCTCCTCGGGACTCTGCAGGAAGTTCTCCCCAGGCTGTGGCCTGTACATTTTATTCTTATGACTCATGCTGGCTGCTCCTCTCCTGGCTTCCCAGAGTACACAGAGCCCACTACAAACTGGTCCAGCCTGCAGTGAGCATGGAGGGATTCCCATCCTTCCCTCAGCTGGAAGGCAGAGGCCACTTCCAGCTGACACTTTCCAGATGTGCTTTTTCATTTGCGGCAACCAGGGTACATGCTAGATAGCCTTGGCATACTTTATTTCAGTGGTCTCCATCATATGGGCACCAAGGACGGGTTTCATGGGAGACAGTTTTTCCATGGACAGGTAGGGAGAGAAGGCAAGGGAGTGGGGTGCTGACTTCAGGATGTTTCAAAAGAGCATGAAACCTGGGTCTCTCATGCCTGTGGTTGGCAGTAGGGTTTGTGTTCCTATGAGAATCTAGGGCCCGTTTTGAACTGCCATGAGGTAGAGCCCAGGTGGCAATAGCAGCGATGGGAGTGGCTAGAAGTACAGTGAAGCATCGCTCACTTGTCTGTCACTTGCCTCCTCTGTACGTCCATGGCCTAGGAGGGTACTGGCACTTGGCCCAGGTGTTGGCGACCCCTGCTTTATTTAGTAACTGAGCATCAACTTTGCTCATGGTGGAGCTGATGATTTGGGGGTGGGCTTGTGCAACCAGTCTCACAGAACTTCCCATTTCTACTCTTCCTGATCTTCTGTAGCATGGTTAGCACCCACTGGTGAGAATCTCTTCTCTCTGAGGAGCAGGAGCTGTGTCTTAATCGTCTCTCTATCCAACAGATAAATCTAGGTACCCCATGGCAGTAACATTCTCCAACTCATCACTTTTTTGTCCTCAGAAATGCAACCCAGAGTTTATATTTCTTTTAGGTAGACAGTCTCTCCCAGAACAAAATATTAAGCTGAGCAGTGACACACAGGAGCAGGTCACTCCACAGCATTGCCCTGGCTGATGGGACAGTGAGCTCATTCCCAACACCTTTGATGGGCTCTGCTCAGCCTAGGACACCGAAAGAGCCACTCAAAGTGTCAAGTAAAATCAGGCTTGTCAGCACTAGGAAGGACAGGGCAGACCAGAACATTGGTGGACCTGGGGTTGAATAAATGAGAAGCTGACCCTGGGAGAAGGACTCTGAGTGGCACTTCCTTAGGTAAATGTGTACTGGATCCTTACACTATGCGAATTCCAATGCTTAGTGTTTGGAGGGGAATTAAGGTAGATTGCATCAAAAGCAGAACTTCATGGGGTGGGAAAGAGAGACTCAGGAAGAAAAATGTTAGGGAGAACTTCCTTATTCTGGAAGGGTTGAGATTGCACAGTAGGAAAGCACAGAACCCACCTTTACTCTATTCTGGACACCTGAGGAGTGCCTGCTACACACACCATGATCTGGGGCATCAGCCAGGAGGTGCATGTGGTCCCTAGGACCTGGGAGGATCATGCCAGGAACAGCACATAGGTCCCAGTGAATTGGCAATGACCACGAAAGACATCTGGTTTGGAGGACCTGGTGACATTAATAGCCTTCGCACTTTGAGTTTTCCTAGAAGGTCTCCCTCATGCTGTCATTCAAACCAGACTGGTGATCACAGGCCAGGGCAGAGCCTTCTTGTCCAGCCACAGATCCAGAAGGGATGGGTCACCTTCTGGGACTGCCCTTTGGTGTCTGCTGAAAATAGGTCATGCCAGGCCTGGACTCAGGATGCCCAAGAACAGCATTTGGGGGTTGTCAGGAGATTCTCCCTTCCTGAGCTTTGTGGCTAAAATCCATGTTTTCTGGCATCGCTGACTTCATGGGGAGGGAGCTCCCTAGGCCACCTCGAGCAGATGTTTGTGGGATGTTGAGAAGTCCCTCCAAGTGCCTCATGGGATGGCCCGAGTCAGTGGCTGAGCTCATGGAATCATTCCTCTTAGCTAACGAAGTGGCCCCTGTCACATTTTTGTGGACAAGGGGAAGAGACAGCTTTGGTGGCCATGCCAGTAGGAGCAGTCATGGAGCACTGGCTAAGGATGCCCAGGGAGAACTGGTGACTAATTTGGAATAAACACAGTGGATGGCCTCTAATGGTGTGCCCTAGGGCTCTGCCCCCGCCTACCCATCATCAGTCGGGAATCTGCGTGGAAATGAAACTGCGGGCTGATAAAATGTAAAGGAGACACAAAGTAGGAGGGACGGCTGAGGTGCAAAGTTGTGGCATGAGGAAAGACTCAGGGAGCAACAAGTGGATGAAATAATAGGTCCAGAGTGGCACAGTGATAATGTATTAGAAATATGTGTCATATTTTGGACCTACAGAATATTAAATATATAATTCTATTTCAGGGTTCATGGGAAACAAATCAGCCACAAGAGCACACATATTACAGAGATGATTTAAAAGCACTGATTATTAAAAACAAGTGATCTGTGAAGGTGTCGATTGGTCTGGACACCAAATCATATGAGGCAGGGAAGTTCTTTCTGTCAAGAAAAGAAGTATGGGAGGGGCGTGGCAGTTCTCTTGAGATATTTAGAGAACTGCCATGAAGACAAATGATTAGCCTTTATTCCAACTCAGAGCGAAGGCCAAAGGGCAGGTCATGGGGGTAGATTTCAGCTGAGGCGAGCCCCACACTTTCCTTCATTGGGAATGACAGCTCCTGGGTGGTGGCCACTGATCTGACCTCCCGCCAGGAATATTGTGGTCAGATTCCTGGTTGGGGAAGTGGGAGTGAGCACCAGGTTGTGAGATCGCCTGTTAACCTTCCTCTGTGAAGATGCACCACACCAAGTTGGAGGTATCTTCCAGCTGGACAGGCTGTTGTGTAAATTGGTGCCAGGCATGCAGATCAGGCACGTAGAGGAGATGCCAACAGTGTATACGTTATGTGCTCTGTCCTTCTCCCTGCCTGTTCCTGACCTGAAAACCAGGTGCAGACCTGGCACCCTTACTCTTCTACTTCTAAGGGTGAGGGTCAAAGCCCTTGGGACACCTCCCCCCATATGGGGCCTCTGTTTCAAAAGTGATCAAGAATGAAGCAGGATCAAGAATGTGGGGTCAGTGAATGCTTTCTTCATGTCTGCGACCCAGCTGTGAACCCCTGGACTCATGTAGCTGGTGAGGCTCCCCATCTCTTCCCACTGCTCCCTGCAGTGACTGTTGAGCTCGTTAATGCTTGGAGATTGCAGACAGGTCACAAGCCTACTGATGACCCTCACAGATTGGTGCCTTCTCCCAAGGGCACCAGCAGCCCCCAAGTGGAGGGTGGAAGAAAATAGCTCATCGGTCTAGACCTTGCTTATCCTCCTCAGGGGTGCCAGAGGTGTGAGTCACAAGCCCTGAGCCTGGCCAGCGAGATTTTGGCCAATTAGATGCCAGATGTGCTTCCCTGCACTCCTGTGCCCACCTGGGGACATCACTGGCCTCCTTGACACCTTGTAGCCTGCTCTAGGATATTTGGTATCTTTCTCTGGAGGGGGAAACACTGCACCTCAAGTGCCCCAGGGTGAGTCCAGTGGCTTGGCTCTAGGCTACCTGTTGCTCTGGCTATCAGCAGCTAGGACACTGGGCGCATCCCACACAGTCCAAACGGTCTCTCCATCAGGATGGTGGGCCAGGTATGCACCAGTTGAGAGGTTGTTTTAAATACTATGCAGGAGAAAAACTCAGATGACTTCTACAGCAGTGC